CCGCCATCCCGGGCCCCCCTGGGTTCGCATCAAGCTGGCCAGAACCGTGCTCATCTTGCGAACCCGGGGGGCCAGGCGCCTGAAATGGGCCCCAAAGTACCAATGGCTGTCCAACGTCAGGCCCAGGTACTTGATCGTGGGCTGACACGGATACCATCCACCAGGACCCGGGCCTTTCGTGGCCTCCCCTTACCCCGACGGCGATGGAACAGCATCGCCTGGGTCTTTTGGGGGGCCACTTTCAGCCCGAGGTCTCTGATGGTGCCCACCACCGAGCTGAGTGCCGTCTCTGCTCGGAGGCGAGCCTCCCTCCAATTCTGCCCCTCGGCGAGCACCAACGTATCGTCTGCGTAGCAGACTACGTGGGCGCCGAGGGGAAGGGGAGAGCGCAGCACCCGGTCGAACGCGATGTTCCATAGCAGGGGGCCCAGTACGGACCCCTGCGGAACACCGCGCTCCATTCGGCGCCAGCCTTGGACCCCGCCTCTCCCGGAGTAGGCGAGGTCCCTGTCCCTGAAATAGGCCGACAGGATGCGCCGGAAATAGACGGGCGCCCCGTGGTATTCGAGGGCCCGTCCAATCTCCGGCCAAGACAGGGTGTTGAACGCGTTAGTGATGTCGAGAGACACCGCGAGCCCTGCCCCCCTCCTCCACAGCGGTACGGGCCAGGTCCCGGACGTGCTGGGCGGCATCCAGCGTAGAGCGTCCAGGCCTGAACCCGTACTGGTTGCTGTGGAGGTCCGGCCTTTCCAGGGACATGTGCTGGACGAGGCGGTCGGCAATGATGCGCTCGAGCATCTTGCCCGCCTCGTCTAGCAGGCATATCGGCCTGAAGTCTGGCGCCCAACCGGGCGTCTTGCTCTACTTAGGGAGGAGGACCAACTTAGCCCTCCTCCACTCATGGGGGAAGACTCCTTCCTTGAGGCATTTCTCCAGAACGTCCCGCATGGCTGTGGACAGGTTCCCTTCGCCAAGGGCGAGGGCCCAGGTGCGGTCAGGAATACCGTCGGGGCCCGGGGCTTTGCCCTTGGCCCCGAGCCTCTTCCTGGCCCTGGCGAACTCCTCTAGTGAAACCCCCAGGTCCTCGTTCCAGTCACCGTCCCGTAATTCCGGGACGGGGAGCCGGGGAGGGGCCCCCTCCATCCTCGGGAAGAGGGTGTCGAGGCGCCCCTCGAGGTCCTGGGGGTCCATCGACTCCGCTGGAGGGGGCGCCCATGGACGTATCTTTCCGACCGTCCGTTTGTATGGGCGCCCCCACGGGTCTTCGTCTAGGGAGTCCACCAGTCGCTCCCAGGCCTTCTCCTTGGCTTCCTTGATGGCGGCCTTCAGGGCTTCCCTTTTATTAAAGTAGTCCCGTTTTGTCCCCGCGACATCCCCCTCCTCATCGCGCCGGGCACTGGTATACAGCCTTCTGGCTCGGACGCAGGAGTCGCGGATCTCCGCAATCTCCTGCGTCCACCAGTATGCCGCCCGGCGCTTTCGGGGGTGGGACCGGGGCATCGCGACGTCGCATGCCGACGCCACAATGCCCACTACCTCCCTCGCCAGTTCCTGGGGAGGGAGGGGGTCCCGTTCACCTGGCTCTCTTCCGAGATGCCAGGTGGCCGCGAGGACGGCCGCCTGGAACCTGTCTCAAGGTCCTCCTGCCCGGCTTGATCCGAAACTCCCGAAAGTAGTTAATACCTTCTAGAGCCTCGGCGGCCAAGACGCGATCGAGACCAGAAATAGGGGGTCTCCACATAGGCGGAATACCCCACTGGTACCGACGCCGACCCATGCCGGCACGACCCTCCCTAGCACGACCCTCGCGCGCGGATGAGGGAAGACCTTCCGCCGCCACGGGGACCTTATCGTCCTCGGGCGGCGGGAACTCCTCCCCCGGGAAGTGTCTCTCCCAGATCTGTGAGGCGGACAGCTCACCCAACGGCGCCCCATCCTCACGAGGACCGGAGGATACCTGCCCCGCCGACGTGGAACGAACCGGCACAAAGCCCGCCCCAGCCGACGAGGAGCGCAACCTCCCGCCATGCCACGACTCGAAGGCGGAAGTATCCGCCTTCTTCTTCCGTTTTTTGCGCAACCGTGGGGAGACCAGGGACGAGTCGGAGGACCGACTCGACCCAGGCCCCCCCCGGGCACCCCCTCCGGGCGATAGCATCTTCAGGTGGCGTGCCCGCCAGGCACGCGCCACCGAGCCCGTCGCTTGATGTCGACAGGAGAGGGCACCGTACACCTCCTCCCGCCGTTCCCCGGCTCCGAGTTCCGGGGTCTTAACTCCTTTCTTAGACATTACTCCATAAATGTCGGGGTTTTACGATCCCCGACACAATCGGGTTTTTGTTCAGGGTTTTCCTTCCCCTAGACCGGTTGCCATTCAAGGCTAACGAGCCCGGTCTACCCGCGCTGTGAGGGCCTTCGAGTTGTCTGGGAACAACCCTCCGGCTCCTACTTCTCCGAGAGGCAGCTGCCTATCTCGGAGTGTATGTAGGACGCTCATAGCTAGTGATCCTCCCCACTCGGTCCTCCCTTCGGTTGGACCGAAGGTACTATCCAAGTGGATCATTAGTACACCAGGACCCCTTCACCACGATAAGGTGGCGCCACGCAAAGGAGAATATTGTCGAAACTATAAGACATACAAAAAAATTGTTTCAACAAAATTTTAATGGTTTGAAGAGTACTTTGAGGTTATGCAAAGAAAAAATTTTTTTATTAAATATTTTTTTATTTAACCACCACCTCCACCCCCTCTTTTTGCAAAATTAAAAATTTTTTTTCACCAGAGTAAAGGTTATTTTTTTCAAATTCAACCATGTATAATAAAGTAACGTTACGAGAAATCATTTTCGAGAATTAATTGTTATCGCCTCCGTATATACGCTTATCTGTACACGCGACGATACGCCTATCGTATATACGTGACGATACGCCTATCAGTTCGTCACGTTCGTGGAAACAAAATGTGCACCGCCTAGTATATAAGGCGACCGTATATCTAACGTGAGCGTATAATATTCACAGTCAGTACAGTCTTTATACTCTGTTCTTCTATTATACACCATCTTTATACTCTATCTTCTGTTATACTCACATCAGTGGAACTTGCTAAACCACGAGAATATGAGAACTTTCATGTGAGAGGTACGTAAATATTCTACGAGGCACTGTCTTTTACATATTTTTCTCGACATAAATATGTTCCTTAATGTCTAGTGTATCGATGAAAAAAAGAAGAATTAAAATTGGTTAATATTTTGTATTGTTTTAGGTAAATGTTGAATATAAAATAGCTTTTACCCAATTATCGGAAGCACGTAAAAATTTTGAAGTGGTTGAAGTTAGGAGTAAATAGTTTTTATTACAACAGACAGCAAAGTTTAACATCCTTGGAAATGATTATTAATCCGCGTAACGTTGTTAGACTTTTATTGATGTCAATAAATTCAATGTATCTAATAGAAACGCCAGTAACTGAAGCAGAAATAGAATTAAAAGAAAACATATAAAAAGTATTACTGGATAGCATTTTTCATTATAATGGGTTGGAAGTAACGCAAGAAATATATCTCGATTATGAAGAACCTTATAAATTACACAGTCCGGAAATAATTGAAGATGACGAAGAAGCATTGGGTGAAGATAATTTGAATTCTCAACCTCAATGTTCAAATGTTGACGAAGATTTTGACAATTCTTATAAAAGACAGGCTGTTGAGTATTGGCGGAATAGAGATGATGAAGAAAATAATAACGATAGAACAAGGAGTCGTTCTCTAAAATCAGTGCCATAAATCAAATCAATCAGTGCTAAAATCATAAACCTTGATGAATTAGATTCAGTGTTAATATTTTCAGTTAATATTTCTCTGTATCGTTCATATTTCATTTGCAAGCTGTATCATGGACCAAACATTTTTACCATATATCATGCATAAATTGTTGTCTTATCGTAATTTTTGTCAGTGGTATATTAACGACAGAAGGAACTGAAAATTCTGTATCGTACAATTGCGAAAAGAGGACCATCGTTGTCAATGGTGCACCAACGATATTCGGCATAAAATTGATTCCTAGGTATAATCGCGATACAACGCAATGATCAGCTATGCTGATGTCTGCATGATTAGCTATCAAACACCCTGTATATATATACAGGGTGTTTGATAGCTAATCATGCAGATGAAAGTTGGAGATAGATTGGATGTAGCCGAGAAGAAAAGTCATGTACCATAATGTCAAATTGCCAATAGTTACCGAGCTATTAATTAAAACATGTGAGCCAACGAGCGCGTAGAGAGCGGAGGGCGGTCGCACTAAGCATGTAGACATTTGATACAGGCGGAGTCAGCGAGTGGCGATAGGCAAGCGCGCGCGGCGAGGGGCAACGTAAGCGACAAAAGGCGATCGCGCGCGACGAGGAGCGAGCGAGCTTTTTCTTTATAGCTTTTTCCTTATAGCTCACTCGCTCCTCGTTCGCGCTCGCTCGCTCTTACTAAATACGTTTGCGCAAGTTTTCACTTATCTTCAGCTAACCAACTCAATTTGGGATGCAAACAGCTGGCAATTATCAATTCTTCTTTTTCGAATGTAGTACAAAATCTAAAGTTGAATCAATAAAATTAAATATGAACATATTGATTTTTCTTTTTGATCAGATGAATGTTGTTTGATGAACATATGTATTAACCAAATTACACTAACTTACCTTTCTTTTAAACCTTTCTGTATAGCTAAGGCTAATGGATGACAATATGTGAGTCCATCTTTATTGGTTCTCATTAAATTCAGCATAAAACAAAAAATGCATAGAAATGAAATACAATTAAGTTTAATTTTATAAAAATTAAAAAGTAACGATTAAAGTAACGGACGTTTTGTTACTCGTTACAAAAAAAATGTATCGCCGTTACTTTTTCGTTACTGACACCAAAAAGTAACGGCATTACCTAATCGTTACTCAAAAAAGTAACGATACCAGTAACGGCGTTACAAGTAACGCGTTACTTCCCTGCAAATAAGATACGTCATTATTGCGGCAAAAGACTTTGATTCTCGCCGCACGTGCGCTTGTTTCTTAGACACGCAAATCTGAAAAACAAGCGCACGTCAAGAATCGGCATATGGCGAGAATCGAAATCTTTCGCCGCAGTAACGATGTATCGTATTTCTTACTGATCTACACAGACAATGCGCATACTCGTGTGGCGGAAAATATCATCACATTAGAGTTTAAGAATTCGCACGGTATAGCGCTCAATATATATAACATAAAAATGTCTTCTTTTACAAAAAGTGAACTAGCGAAAAAGATAAAAATGGACGTATTTGATTAATAGAAAAGCCTGGCACAGATAAAAGTAGTGATTGTTGGAATAACTTTATATACGTTTATACGTACGTACTCCAAAGAAATTCACCCTTCGAAAAAAATATCATAGAGTGTATAGAAATATGACATATTCACTTTAAAACATTCTTTTTTACTTCCATTTTCCCTGTATACGTATATTACTATAGATATACGTTGTATATACGTTGACACGTTGATACTAGTTGATAGTCAGACTAATGTTTCTGTTGGTTTTGTGCAATGCAAAATCTGTAAAACGACACTGGTTTATAAAAGTATCGGAATCGGTCAGAAGCACGGTTTTCATATCTTTAAGCTACATTTCGTTGGTTTCGGGATTAGTCGGGAGTCGGGAGTAGTCGGGAATCTCGAGACTCGGCAGTTTCGACCGAGATAAATCGAGCTCATTCCCGATGAGCTCCCGTCGCTTCTATCTTCTCCACTCATTGTGGAGCAGCGACAGCATCGGGAGTCGCCAGCATGAGCAGTCGGGAACGAGCGGGAGCAGAATAACAAATTGCACGCCTCTAGTGTCATTGTGAACGACACGCATATGTAATTTCATCTTTCCACCCAATAACATTAGCGTTATCCAATGATTCTAGCGTCTGCGGTTTCTGAAAAAAAATAAAATTCCCTAATGTCATATTATCTTTTTATTATCATAAGTACCAGTAAACTATTATAAATCATAGATTATTTAAGAAAATATATAGAACGCCCTTACGGAAGAAAACATTCAAATATCGAGTGTTTTTTTTTAAGAATGCCAAAACGATTGACTTTATTAGTGATAATTAATGTTTATGTACTTTTCTGAGTTGCCATATATTATTTTGTGTCTCTTGAATTACCTTCTCACATCTGTTGTACTATTAGGCAATTTTTGTGTTGTGGAATGTCTCAAATATAAGTTCGAGTAGTTAATTCTTTTCGATTTTCAACAATTTTCAATCTTTATTTAAAAGTCAATAGGACAAAATCATTTAACGAAATATTCTTCGTTATTATCGATGACGTTACGCCATTTACTGCGCAGTTGCCAAATCCCATCACGGTACAAACTAAACTCTCTTTCAGATTGTAAAGTTATTGATGAAATTTCGTACCTCGTCAACTATCAAAAAATATATATCAGACAGTGCGTGTTGCATCGTCTGAAACAAGAGAAAATCTGATCGAGCCAAGTCTGGAAAACTTCTCAGTCTAACAAGAGAAACACCCCAACTGTTACTTCACCAATCAAATTAGATTATATATTAAATTGTTCTACTGATCATCCTTAATAACGTGCTACTACTCCCTATTTCCAGAAAAAGCTAATATAGGCTATAGAGCGCCTCAAAGTTTGGGAGTGATTTCGTAATTACGGACAACTATGGAGTTGAATGTGGTATCATTCGACTCGCCTTGATTAGTATATCATATATGTCAAGTATTGTTATATTCTTGTCAAATCATGAGATAATTACATTTTAATGTTAAATTTTGCTGCTCGCCTGACGTTTAATTATAGGCTTACTTACAGATTTTATCCATAAATAGATAGTACTCGATCAAGAGAATCTAAGAACAGTTTTTGGTCATGATTGGATAAAGACTTCTTGATCTGTGTCACTTGCGCAAAATAATTAAATAGTGAATATTTCAAAAAATAATCGAGTTAGTGTATAAGTATATAAGATTTTAAGTAAGTGCTCTTTGTTTTTTCTTATAATAACTATTGCTTTAATTCTTTCTCTTCCGTTTTTTCTTTTATTTTTATGATGTACTGCGAGTTATTTAATCAATGCGAGTCGAATGATATCTCATTCAACCACACAGTTGCCCATAATTACGAAATTAGCCCCAAACTTTGAAGCACTCTATACTATACTAGCCTATACTAGTTTTTTTCCAGAAGTAGGGAGTAGTACTACGTTATTAAGGATGATCAGTAGAACAATTTAATATACAGGGTATCTATAAAGTCCGACCCCACCCCTGGATCTCGGAAACAGCTTTAAATATGGAAAATTGTTTCAAACAAAAGTTATAGGATATTGAGGGGGACACATGATAAAAATATGGACTTGACCTTGAGTAACTTTATCAAGGCCAGGTCAATGTGATCGATGTTTTCTTAAATGGAACCTTCTATCTTTTATTGCATATTCTTATAGCCCTTGTCGAGACGTTTTCAAAACACTACCTATTTTTATTTCTTGCGCAAGCCATTCCCAAGATATGAAGTTTCAAAGTTGACATACCGCCGGCATTCGCATTACCCAAGGTGTACCGCACATAAGTTGCACGATCGGATTTACGCCTCTTTTGTGTGTGTGTGTGCGTGTGTGTGTATGTGTGCGCGCGCGCGCGCGCGTGTGTGTGTAACGGCAAGAAAATAACTAATGTAAGGGGAAGCAGAAGAAGAATGGTGGAGAGAGACAGTGAGACAGAGAGAAAGGGGGGGGGGAATTTTGATTAAAAAAACACATACATACAAAATTGGTCCTTTTTAGGGCCACACACACGCACACACACAGTGAAGAGGGTTTGGAGTAAAAAAATACTACGGGAGTGACGAACCGTGGGGTCCTTATTTCTACTGTGACATACACATGCATACACACGCACGCATGCACAAGGGGCGTAAATCCGACCGTGCAACCTCCACGCGGTACACCTTGGGTGATGCGAATGCCGGCAATATATAAACTTTGAAACTTCATATCTTGGGAATGGCTTGCGCAAAAAACAAAAATAGGTAGTGTTTTGGAAACGTCTAGACAAGGGCTATAAGAATATGCAATAAAAGATAGAAGGTTCCATTTAAGAAAACATCGATCACATTGACCTGGCCTTGATAAAGTCATTCAAGGTCAAGTCCATATTTTTAACCTCTGTGAAGATGGCCTCTCATTCTTCAAATTTGAAAAAAATTATTAGAGTTCTGAATGCCCCTCGCAGAGTTTTAGAGTTCGCAATCCTTTATAGAAAGAGTTCTGTCATTTAAAGTAGAGAAAATACCATTTTAAAAATCGGAGGGCCAACTTCACGACGCCCCTCATTACGTAAAAAATGTAAATTTTTATAGAGTTCTAGATAGATTTTTAATAGTTCTATAGTTCTAGATAAGTTTTAAAAATAGTTCTGTTTAAAACAATAAGAAAAATTATATTAAAAATTTTCGAATTAGAAAACGAAAAATGGCAAGAACTCTACCAATTTTGGTTTTAGCGCGTCGAGTGTTAATAATAATCTTTAGAACTCGTGCGGGGCTAACCAGAACTCTGAATGAAACGTCGGGATTCCGAAAATAAATTTTCGATCCGAAGGACATGGAAATATTCGACTCGAGGGACGGAAATCGGCGAGAACTCTTTCAATTTTGGTTTTAGCGCTCTGAGTGTTAATAATAATCTTCAGAACTCGTGAGGGGCTAACCTGAACTCTGAATGAAACGTCGGATTTCCGAAAAAATCTTTCGATCCGAGGGACATGGAAATATTCAACTCTAGGGACGAAAATCGGCGGGAACTCTTTCAATTTTGGTTTTAGCGTTCCGAGTGTTGATAATAATCTTCAGAACTCGTGAGGGGCTAACCAGAACTCTGAATGAAACATCGGATTTCCGAAAAAAAAATTTTATGTGTTTAATAAACAATCAATTTTTTTGAAAATCCGATGTTTTATTTAGAGTTCTGGTTAGCCCCTCACGAGTTCTAAAGATTATTATTAACACTCGATGCGCTAAAACCAAAATTGGTAGAGTTCTTGCCATTTTTCGTTTTCTAATTCGAGAATTTTAAATATAATTTTTCTTATTGTTTTAAATAAATCTATTTTTAAAACTTATCTAGAACTATAGAACAATTAAAAATCTATCTAGAACTTCAAAAAATTTACATTTTTTACATAATGAGGGGCATTGTGAAGTTGGCCCTCCGATTTTTAAAATGGTATTTTCTCTACTTTAAATGACGGAACTCTTTCTATAAAGGATTGCGAACTCTAGAACTCTGCGAGGGGCATTCAGAACTCTAATAATTTTTTTCAAATTTGAAGAATGAGGGGCCATCTTCACAGAGGTATTTTTATCATGTGTCCCCCTCAATATCCTACAACTTTTTTCTGAAACATTTTCCATTTTAAAGCCGTTTCCGAGATCCAGGTATGGGGTCGGACTTTATAGATACCCTATGTAATCTTATCTGATCGGTAAAGTAACAGTTGAGGGTTCCCTTATTAATGTAATAATTATATGATTAAATTTTATTAAAAATTTAAGATTTCTTAATTGAATGGTTTTTCATACAGCTCTCGAACATAATATATTATATTATACATATAGTCATATTATTGTCATACTATTTTTCGTTACCATAAGTACGAGGAAATTATTATAGATTATAGTATATTTCAGGAGATATATGGGATGTCAGGACAACTGACTTGATTAGTGATAATTAATATTTATTCACATGTATAAGTTGTCATATATGTATTATTCTGTCTTTTGAATTATCTGCTCTTACTTACCGTATTTTGATAATTTTTGTGACAAGCCTCAAATATTTAGACCCCCTAAAGAGAAATACAAAAAGTAAAATTAATAAATGAAATAAATATATAGAATGCAGATCCTGATGCAGATCCGGAGTGAGAAAATATTACATATAGGAGAAACAAAATTTCATGTACTCGTGAGATCTCCCTAATTATATAAATAAAAGTCTGCCCCCATTCTCCTCTGAAAGAAAGTAGGGGATAATTTCGTAATTTCAAATGGGGCCTCCTGTAAAATGTTACACATTTGGATTCTATGGGAAGAAACGATTGAAATTGATAGAATTGGGGTTCTTTTTATTTAAAAACATACACTATTAAAAATATTCACGATTTTTTATAGTAAGCAGTTATAAAAAATAGTGGAGATACAAATAAACGAAAAAGTAGTATTTGAAAAATCCGTATAAACGGGATCAAACGTAACTTTCGCAAAATTCAATGGAAACAGAAAAGAAAAATAGAATATTAAAATAGATACTATAATTTTCCGCGTAAAGTAGTCGATTAAAAAAATATTGATTTTTGATAAAATGGCGAACGTTTAAATTTAACATAACAATTTTCAAAGAAAAATTCATTCCTTTTTATTATAAAAAAGAAACTAAATATCGTAAAAAAGTATTCTACGATACGATAAAGAATTATGTACGTTAGCATCCATTTCTAACAATGGGGATGTATCAAAGAAAAAGTTATGTTTTAACCACCTACGACAAAAAAGATGTAAAACAAAGAATACGCGAAGCTTGCGCTGATATTTGAAGCGTTACCCAAAAATGTTACTTAGAGTTAGACAAAATGTTGTAAAAAGGATTAATAAGTGTTTAACTGTAATTGGTCAACAGTTCGAACATATAGTAAAGTGAAAAATGTGAAAAACTATATAGTCTTTTATTTACTTTACGGTTTAATTATTTTAGTTTAAATGCAGTTTACTGTAAAGTTTAAAAATATCTATAACTTTCAACAGAAGTATTTTTTAAAGAAATGTTCCAGATAAAGTTTACTTGTTTCTTTTCGTAGAATCGAAATGTATAACATTTTATAGAAGGAAATTCGTTTTGAAATTATAAAGTATAATGTCCCCCATTTTTAGTCAGGGGAGAGCAGAGGAGGATTTTTGTATATAGATAGAAAAACCTCTCGAATATATGAATCTTTGTCATGAATAATTTTTTGATACATATTTTTAGAACTTTTGGGTTGTCACTCTTTACGTGGGACACATTATATAATTCCTTTTGTTGCAAGTAAAAATAACAAATTTTTAATTGATAATTACCTGCTTGTCTCTATTCCCTGTTGCGACACATTCCGCGTGGATCTGTTAGTTGCCCTGTTGGGCAGGTCACTACGTTAAATTGCGGGGTGTCTATAATAACACGTATATTTCCAAAAAATTTAGATAGAGAATAGGGCGTAAAAAAATGGTATGTTGTTGGAGTTGTACTTTCTAACATTCCTATGTCGGTCGTAGACGGAAGCTGTGTTGTTGGAGTTATTTTTTCTGACGTTCCTATATCCGTTGTAGACGGAAGCTGTGCTACTGGAGGTACTTTTTCTAGCATTCCTACGTCAGTCGTAGACGGAAGACATGTTGTTGAACGGATTCTTTTTGACATTTTTATGTTGGTCGTAGACGGAAGCTGTGTTGTTGGAGGTGCCTTTTCTGACATTCCTGTGTCGGTCGTAGACGGAAGACATGTTGTTGGACGGACTCTTTCTGACATTTCTATGTTGATCGTAGACGGAAATTGTGTTGTTGAACGGACTCTTTTTGACATTCCTATGTTGGTCGTAGATGGAAGCTGTGTTGCTGGAAATATTCCTTCTGATACTTTTATGTCAGTCATAGACTGAAGCTGTGTTGCAGAAGATATTCTTTTGGACATTCCTATGTCGGCCGTAGACAGAAGATGTCTTGCTGGATGGATTTTTTTTGACATTCCAAGTGATATTAGGTTATACGTTATTATAATTATTACGAAAACATGGAACGCTTTCATTACTTTCATTGTGTCGTTTTAATCTCGATATTCTCTGCGACTTTAAAGTCGAGAAATTAAAATTAGGAAGTAAAGTTCTTTTTACCAACTGTTTTATTATAGTGATAACTTATTCTTGTTGAATTTCGAATCCTTTAAGCATAGCTTTTGCACGTTAATCTGTATTTCACTTACGAGAATTTAATATGAGTTTGAATCTTTCCGACACGTCTTACCGTCCCGACAAATTAACACGTATTGTAAGATATTTCACACGCATGCTGTATATAAAGCATTCTCCACGCAAGCAGTTTCCGCGTTCTTCACGCAATTACCTTGCAGTTTTGTAATCATTCATATCACATAAAGACAAAACCAGTTTTATAAAGTATCTTTTCCTGCTACGCATTAACAAAGTATCACGTCTAAAGTATGAGATATACACGCAGAAAATTATACAATTGGAACTATATAATTGGATTCCAATTACAATAACCAAAATTTTGGTTCCTCAGGAATCAACTGAAAATTCGGTTGCGACATTAAAAATATTTTGTTAGGAGGTTTCTGTTAGGTCAACCAAAAAAATTCGAAGATTCTAAATTGCAAGTGTTATTGAATGAAAACACCATTCAAATGGAGAAACAATTGGCTGAATAACTCAGTATCGATAAATCAACAATTTCTAAACGCCTACATGCCATGGGAAAAGTTCATAAGAAAGGCAAATGGGTTCCACATGAATTGAATGAAAGTGCTATTGCAAATCGTTTGAATATCGCCATGTCCTCGCTTGCTAGACAGAAAAAAAGAGTTTCTTATGGCAAATTATAACTGGAGATGAAAAGTGGATTTATTTTGATAATCCAAAGCGGAAAAAATCATGAGTTGATCCAGAACAACCATCAACATCAACACCAAAGCGGAACATTCACGGTCACAAAGCAATGCTCTATATTTGATGGAATATGGAAAGTGTGGTATACTATTGTTACGTCCTAGAGGAGGAGCGCAACTTTTTCATTCGCAGGAAAGGCGAACCTCGTTCGTACATGCGTGCCAGGGAACGAGTCAGGAACCCGACGAGTCCCTTTATTCTGTTACTAACGTACGACGAGCGATCCGTTTTTCGGTCAAGGACGCGAATCTCTTTACCGGGGATAGGACTGTGAGTCAACTGTTAGAAGGTGGGAAGATTTTGAAATTAATTGAATGAAAATAGACTATTAACAAATTTATTAAAATAAAGATAATAACAAAATGATACAACGGCGCGGTTTAGAACATGACAATTTACGCTAATGATTGTATGTGTATGTGTGTGTGTGAGAAGTGGAAGAAGAAGGAATGAAAAAGGGAAGGAATATGAATAGAGAGTTAGTCGAGTGAGGGGGAACATGAATGGTCAGGTGAATTTAAGGGAGTGGATAGTTCAGAGAAAGAAACAGGAGAATAGGATATTGAAGGGGTAGAAAGAGTGAACGCGCTAGTAGGAGAAGAAGAAGGACCAAGGGGTAAACGTTGGAGTAGGAAAGGGGGTAGGAGTGTTGGGTCTGGGTGATAATCGGTTTCTAGGGAGATAATAATAGAACGGAGATATTGAAGTTGATGTTTAAATTCGTAGGGGTCTCTTATCCCGTACACCGTCTCAAAAAGGTGGACGACTTGATGGATAGATACCACAGAATAATAATAATGATCCACTAAAATCGGATTTCAACAAGAGTGGAATTAATAAAAATGGTAGTAAGGAAGGTAGAACATAAAGAAAACAATTTATTGCTGATTCCGAGTGTTTCATGGAAGAGAATGACTGAAAATGGTCTGCGTGGGTGAGCCGCTTCCGGTTGTCCAATTTTGCTGACAGATGATTATGTGATTGCGGAAGGTTGGCGAGACCTCACTAAGAGTAGTATTCGTGGAAAACACTGCGCACTTGCCACAACTGACAAGGGACATTCGGCAACGCGGAAATTCAAAAAAATCTGAAACTCTGCATAATTGTAGAGCAGATATATCTAATAACAAAACAATTTTTCGTTGGTGCCCAAAAACGGTTTTAAGGGTGGAAACAACCCCTTGAAGTTGATTTTTGTCTTTCTAAGCGAATATTATCGAAATTATTAAAGATATGAAAAAATGTTTTAGACAAAAGTTTTATGGTTTTAAAAGTACATTATTATGCTATATTTAGATTTTTTAAAAATGTAAAATTGTGTATAAAATACCCCCCCTCCTTCTCTTTTTTCAAATTGTTAAAATCAATTGTCCAACCAAAATAAAGCTTATTTTATGACAAATTCAACCATATATAATAACATTATGTTTGGAAAAGGCAATATTGAAAAAAAAATTAAACATGCTCTTATATGTATGCTACGCGTACCAAACTTAAGGATTCGCTACTTGACGATGGCATTTCTTTCTTCCTCAAATCTTCCTCATAATTGCAAACTGTAAAAGATAAGGAAGGAAGAAGATAGAAAATCTGAAAAAGCAATAAAGTTGATGTTAAGAAGTAAGTAGGAGAAAAATAGCATGATAAGGATACAGTCACTAATATTTAAAAATGTTATAAATTATAAAATTTCACGTAATAGATGTTTATTTTGCCAACATTGCGGCTACCTTTTTCATTAATTTAAACGACACGCGTAAATATAAATAAATATGTGTGTGTGTGTATGTGTGTTTTTGTACGTGCGCACGTGTGTGTACATCATGGCAACATGCAAAACACTTGTCACAAGTTTTATGACTGTGCGACCAAAATAGCACTCTTTATCAAGTACAGTGCAATCAAGGTTCATTATATTGACATATGTTATCTTCATTCATTTGCATATAAAAGCTGTCCATTTTGGAATACATTTCAGTGTTATTGAAGCAGTTATTGAAGCAGTACGTATATTATTATTGCTGTGAGAAATGTTTAATTAAAATATCCTTAAGATTTGTATCATAATGTCAGTAATAAATCCAGCTAATGTTATTAATTTGTTAATTGCGACATTTCATTTCACAAATATTGCAATAACTCCTGTTAATCATCAAGAGGTGGAACTCCATGATACAATTACTGATTTAATAAAGAGTGCTATACATCACGATATTACGATCAAACATGAGTGGGGACTTGATTTTGACGATCCATCAGAACCGCATGACGTACAATTTGTAGATGTGTACGATATTGATGCTGAAGAAGATAATTATGGAAATGAAGTTTGAACTGTGGATGATGAAGGTGGAAATGTAAACTTAAATTATAAGAAAAAGGCAATCGAATTTTGGAAGAGTGGAAAGAAAGGACATTTATCTCTTACTTCTGTACAACATCGTTTTAGAAAAGTAAAGTTTAATTAAAAAATAAGAAGAATAATATATAGTAAAATACTTGAGGCTTTTACGGTGTACAGTGATCGGCAGTGATTCGTTCCGCGACAGAGAGAACTCTATTTCCCCTCTCGCGGAACGCATCATTGTCGGTCATTGTACATACAGCTTTGACTATAAGTATAAAGCATCCCAAAAAATTTATTTAAATTGTGTAACAAAAACATACTATATGAATATATGGAGGACATAATATAGTATATGAGTATATGGAAAAATAATATAATAAAAAAATATAATATAAGAATATGTGGGAAATAATATTTATTTTACAATATTTATTGTAATATAATATAATATAATATTAATATAATATAAATTATAATATAAATATAATATACATAAATATAATATACACATTATATTATAAAATATTAATATAATATTTATTGTAAAGAGATTATATATTTACTATGAGTATATGCATTGATTTCTAGGAAAATACAATGAGTTAGAGATGCTTTATACTTATGACCAAAGCTGTAAATTATATAGTTAGAGTCGCGTTGTTTTTTATTTTAAGTTTTACAATTTGATGTTTCGTGAACATTTAATTCGTATATAACTTCTTTTATTTTTGAATTCGAATTGTTTAATATTGAGATTTGTTTTCTTCTAGGTAAAATCTATTCAACAATTGCACAGATGACAAGAACATGTAATGCGTGGGGGTTCAAATACAGACAAACTTGTAGTTATTGCTGAATATGTTCTTATAAAATTCCAAGAAGCTGTTAATAGAGGACTTATTATTCATGATATAAATCTGCGAAAATGGGCACTAGAAGCAAAGGAACAAGTGAATTTTTCTTCATTTAAAGCAGGAAATTGGTGGATATGGAATTTTAAAAAGGCACATCGTATTACATCACGTAAAATAACTGCATTTAAAACGCGGTCTTCTCATTTAACTGATCTAACTATACGTCAAAACGCTGAGGAATTTGTAAATACAGTAAAGCCACATATTAATGTAATCGGTGCTGAATCAACTTATAATGCGGACGAAAGTGGCTTTAATTTAGAAATACATGCAGGAAGAACATTAGCTAATGTAGGAGTGAAGACAGTTGGAGCTACTATCCAATCTTTATCTGATATGACTCATAGCTACACCATTATGCCTATTATATCTGCAGATGGACATCTCCTTTCGCCTTTGTATTGGGTGAGTGCAAAAGTTCGTGCGGAGTTTGTGAGTAAAAGTCACACAGTGATTAGGCAAACAAAAATCTTTATTCAATCAATGATGTATTCTCCATCGTTTTCTATAATCTTTTCCCAACGTTCTGGCAGCATACGGATGCCTCGATCATAAAAACTGCGCGGTTTAGATTCGAAGAACGAAGAGACGCCGTTTTTTAAGGCCTCCAAAGAGTCAAAGTTTTTTCCATTTAAATAATTTTGCAATGACCGGAACAAGTGATAATCAGATGGTGCGATATCAGGAGAATACGGTGGATGCGTTAAGACATCCCATTTCAGGCTCTTCAGTTTGCGCAGCGTCTTTTTCGAAACGTGTGGTCTGGCGTTGTCGTGATGAAAGACGACTCCCTTGCGATTTGACAAAATCGGACGTTTCTCTTTTATTTCTCGATTCAGATTGGTTAATTGGCGACAGTACTTGTCCGAATCAATCGTTTTGCCAGCGGGGAGAAGCTCGAAATAGATTATGCCCTTGCAATCCTACCAAACAGAGAGCATCACCTTCATCGAGTGCAAACTGGCCTTTGGCATTGCGTCACCATGCTCACCTGATTGTTTCCATGTCCGTTTGCGCTGAACATTGTTGTAGAGGACCCATTTCTCATCGCCCGTCACTAGTCGATCCAAAAACGAC